AAAGATATGATGAGGTAAGGCAAGACAAATCACAACAAATCGACTGGACGATAAGCAACATAAATGCCAACAGTGTGGTTCGCACCACATCTGAATGACACGAAGGCTTCCAGGCCAACATTGCGGGCTTCAGCAAAAATTTAAGTTGGCATTCCAATCGGTCACCGATAAGAATGCAATAAAGTTTCCAGGCCAACGCTGCGCCCTTATATTGTGGGCGATACAGAACTCAGACCTTGCTCGTGCGCGCGCGAGAGCGTAGGCTCGTCACGCGCGCGGGGGACTCGGAGTGCTGTATTGTCCACGACAGAAAAGCCGACCTGTAACCGCAAAAACTAAATACAAAACTTCTGTGAACCTCTATGGAGGCCGACGGACGCGCCGACTTGTATATTGTGGACAATACAGAACTCCCGCGCGCGCGGGGAGTTTTGTATTGTACACAATAAAAAAGTCGGCCAAAGGGCCACAGAAATTTCAAATTCAGCCTTTGGAATTACATGGCGGCTTCTCTATTGTCGAGAATACAGAACTCCGCACGCGCGCGCGCCCGCGCGTCCGCGCGCGCGCGTGGCGGGTTCTGTATTGCCCATAATAGAAAGGTCAGCCAGTCCGTCGGCCTCCTCAAAGGGCCACAGAAATTATAAATATCAGTTTTTGGAATTACACGGCGGTTTCTCTATTGCCGAGAACACAGAACTCAGCGCGCGCGCGCGCGTCCGCGCGCGCGTGGCGATTTGTATTGTACAATGGAAAAATAGGCCCTTTCCGTCGGCCTCCTTAAAGGGCCACCGAAATTTCAAATTTAGTTTTTGGAATTACATGGCTGCTTTTCTAGTGTCGACAATACAGAACTCCGCATGCGCGCGCGCGTCCGCGCGCGCGCGTGGCGAGTTCTGTATTGTCCACAAGAGAAAAAAGTAGGCCCGTCCATCGGCCTCCTGAAAGTGCCACAGAAAAATCAAATTCAGTTTTTGGAATTACATGGCGGCTTCTCTACTGTCGACAATACAGAACTCCGCGCGCGCGCGTGGCGAGTAAGTTCTGCATTGTCTACAATCGAAAGGTCGGCCCGACCATCGGCCTTTTTAAAGGACCGTAGATATTTCAAATTCAGTGCTTGGGGTTACACAGCGGCTTTTCTATTGTCGACCATACAGAACTCCGCACGCGCGCGCGCGTGGCGGCCTCCTTAAAGGACCACAGAAATTTCAAATTTAGTTTTTGGAGTTACATGGCGGCTTTTCTATTGTCGACAATACAGAAATTCCGCACGCGCGCGCGCGCGCGTCCGCGCGCGCGCGCGCGTGTGGCGAGCTGTATTGTCCACAATACAGAGGACGGCTCGTCCGTCGGCCTCCTTAAAGGGCATCAGAAATTTCAAATTCAGTTTTTGGAATTACATGGCGGCTTTTCTATTGTTGAGAATACAGAACTCCGCACGCGCGCGCGCGCGTCCGCGCGCGCGCACGTGGCGAGTTCTGTATTGTCCACTATAGAAAAGTCGGCCCTTTCCGTCGGCCCCCTTAAAGGGCCACAGAAATTTCAAATTCAGTTTTTGGAATTACATGGCGGCTTCTCTATTAACGGCAATATAGAACTCTGCGCGCGCGCGTCCGCGCGCGCGCGTGGCGAGTTCTCTATTGTCCATAATAGAAAGGTAGGCCCTTCCCTTCGGCCTCTTTAGAGGGCCACAGAAATTTTAAATTCAGTTTTTCTAATAACATAGCTGCTTTTTCTATTGTCGACAATACAGAACTCCGTACGCGCGCGCGCGTGTGGCGAGTTCTGTATTGTCCACAATAGAAAAGTCGGCCCTTTCAGTCGGCCTCCTTAAAGGTCAACAGAAACTTCAAATTCAGTTCTTGGAGTTACACGGCGGCTTTTCTTTTGTCGACAATACAGAACTTCGCGCGAGCGCGTCCGCGCGCGCGCGCGCGGCGAGTTCTGTATTCTCCACAATAGAAAAGACTACCCGTCCGTCGGCCTCCTTAGAGGGCCACAGAAATTTCAAATTTAGTTTTTGGAATTACATTGCAGCTTTTCTATTGTCGACAACGCAGATCTCCGCACGCGCGCGCGCGTCCGCGCGCGCGCGTCGCGAGTTCTGTGTTTGTCCACAATAGAAAAGTCGGCCCTTTCCGTCGGCCCCCCTAAAGGCTGCAGAAATTTGAAATTCCTACCTAGGCTCTGCCTAGAGGGTTCTTACTCTCTTAACTTAAAGGGGCCGGGCAGTGCAACACGCCCCGGGCGGTTCCCCCGGTCCCCGCCCCGCGGTTCCCCCAGTCGCGCCCCCTTAGCTTGGCTTAGCTTATTTCGTCTTAGCTTAGCTTGGCTTAGCTTGGCTTAGCTTGGCTTACCTTAGCTTAGCTTAGTTTAGCCTGGTGTAGCATAGCTTAGCGTCGCATAGCATAGCATAGCACATCACAGCATAACATAGCATAGTATTTCATAGCATAGCTTAGCATAGCTTAGCATAGCGCCCCCCTGAGCTGGGCTTAGCTTATCTCGTCTTAGCTTAGCTTGGCTTATTTTAGCTTAACTTTAGCTTAGCTTGGGCTTAACATTAGCTTAGCTTTAGCGTAGTTTTAGCTTAGCTTCAACTGAGCTTCAACTTAACTGTAGCTTAGCTTAAGCTTAACTTTAGCTTAGCGCCAGCTTAGCTTCAGCTTAGCTTCAGCTTAGCTTTAGCTTAACTTTAGCTTAGCGTCAGCTTAACTTCAGTTTAGCTTTAGCTTAGCTTTAGCTTAGCTTTAATTTAGCTTCAGCTTAGCTTTAGCTTAGCTTCGGCTTAGATTCACAGTTACTAATGCTGCTTTCCTAGGGGCTCCAAATCCTAGGTAGGGTCGCACTGGGATAATTCAGTTTTTGGAATTACATGGCGGCTTTTCTGCCATTTCCGTCGGCCTCCTTACTGGGCTTACTGGGTAACAAAAGTTTCAAATTCAGTTTTTGGAATTACATGGCGGCTTTTCTATTGTTGACAATACAGAGCTCCGCACGCGCGCGCGGGTAATTCTTTACTTGTCCATAACAGAAAAATCTGCCCTTTCCGTCGGCCTCCTTAAAGGCCACAGAAATTTCAAATTCAGTTTTTGGAATTACATGGCTGCTTTTTCTATTGTCGACAATACATAACCCCCCGCGCGCGCGGAGTTCTGCATTGTCATTGTCCACAATAGAACAGTCGGCGCGTCCGTCGGCCTCCTTAAAGGTTCACAGAAATGTTGAATTCAGATTTGGGAATTACATGTCTACTATTCTATTGTGGACAATGCAGAACTCCCCGCGCGCGCGCGCCCGTCCGGAGTTCTGCGTTGTCCACAATATACAAGTCGGCGCGTCCGTCGGCCTCCTTACAGGTTCACAGGAATTGCGAATTCAGTTTTGGGAATTGCATGTCGGCTTCTCTAGTGTGGACAATACAGAACTCCCCGCGCGTGCGCGCGCGCGTGCGGGGAGCTGTGCATTGTCCACAATAGAACAGTCGACGCGTCCGTCGGCCTCCTTAGAGGTCACACAAATGTTGAACTCAGATCTTGCAATTACATGTCGGCTTCTCTAATGTGGACAATACAGAACTCCCAACGCGTGCGGGGGGAGTTCTGCATCGTCCACAATCGAGAAGCCATGTTGGCCTGGAAACTAAATTGATTGTTTAACGGTGACCGATTGGATTCTCAAGTTAGCATCGGCTTTGGCGTTGGTTTGCGTTGCGGACAACACAGAACTCCCAGAGCGCGCGCGCTGGGAGTTCTCCATTGCCCACAATCGACAAAATTGCCATGCTGGCGTGGAAACTAAAGTGACGCCTTAACGGTGACCGATTTGATTCTGAAGTTCACATCGGTTTGGGTGTTGGTGTCTGTTACGGGCAACGCAGAACTCCCAGAGCGCGCGCGCGTCGCGGCGCGCGCTCGCACTGGGAGCCCTGTGTTGTCCGCAACTGAAAAGTCGCCCTGTTGGCCTGGAAACTAAAATGAACCTTTAACGGTGACCGTTGTGAACCTCTCTCTTTTTTTTTTTTTTTTTTTTTTTTTTTTTTTTCTCTCTCTCTCTCTCTCTCTCTCTCTCTCTCTCTATCTTTCTCTCTCTCTCTCTCTCTCTCTCTCTCTCTCTCTCCCTGACCACCTCTCACCTGATTCCGAAACCCCGAGCTGCTGCCATGCCAATCTTCGTGGAAGCGGGGAGGGCAGAAAGAGGGGGATGAGGGCGAGGATGTGGGAGAGCTCCCCGGTGCATCGCCGACGCACCGCACGTGCAGCAAAACAAGTTTCGGATCGCGCGGCGGTGGTGTCCTTACGTTGGTTTTCAACCTGAACCAGAAGATCGCCTGACACCCAAAGACGTGTTTTCTCCGCTGAGTATGCGGGCTTTCGTCGTGAGTCCTGAGTCCTTTCCTCCTTCTCCTCCTCCTCCTCCTCCTCCGCCTCCTTCTCCACATAGTTCCCTCTCCCTCTCCTCCCGCTGCTTCCCGCTTGCCGTTTACCCCGCATCCTGTCCGTTTTCACTTGCGGCCTGCCATCATCAGTCTCGATAGGCGTCCATGTGCATCTTCGTGTCTGCATGCCCCTGCCCCTCAACAAGCCATTTATGCAGAACGCGGTCAACGCGCATCGGTCTCTCATGGGGCTTCGCGGTCCTGGACCTGCTGCAGTCCCGTCATGATGGCTACAATAGCACAGAGCAGCCATCTTGCATTGTGGACCGATCCCAAAAAAACTGCAACTGACCAACAACTCTGCCCTCCGAGTTCGCCACGTCGGCATAGCGGCCACGAACCTCGCCTCGGCATTGATCGTAACTTTCCCAATCTATGCGAACCCGCTTCCGCGCTGTAGCCGCAGCCGAGGAGGAAGACGCTGAGGGAGCAGCCGCAGCCGAGGAGGAAGCAGCCGCAGCCGGGGAGGAAGATGCTGAACTTGTTGCCAACGGTGGCGGGGGCGGGCGCGACGGATCTGCATCGGCATGTTCGTGGAACGCCTTTATATATTTTCTCATCAGGCTGAGTTCCTCGACGTCGAAGTCGCATTCCTCGTCGGGCTTTCATCCGGCGGTTCGGCGCCGTTCTCGTTCAATCCCTGCATATCGCCCAAGTCCGAATCATGAGCAGGCTTCGGGTCCGCGATGTCCGACATGTGGTGGAGGCAACCTGCAATAACACAATGTTTACTCGTATGCGTCACGGCCATGCGGTTATAGCCCACGACATCGCAAGTCATCTCCACGCACGCCACATCCTCGATGCCGAGGGCGTCCGCCTCAGCAAGGATACCGCAGAAAAAATAAGGTCATGCTGGAAATCCAATTATGGACCCCCGAACTCCGAATGACGTCGGGCCAGTTCCAGATGCCACGGGAAGTTCACTCCACTTTCCAAGTCTACGAGCCGAGTGCCTCCAGCTAGTTCCAAAGGCAATACGATCGTGAATTCAGGGCGTCGCTGCACGTGGGCTGAGAGAAAACATATGCTGACATATCCTGCCGCACACTCGCCCAGCACAAAGTATGCCTTCATCGCGGCACCTCAAGAGCCGAACGCATGTCCACTGCGCGGCCATGGCGCGGGTGGCGGCAGCAGCAGCCCGGCACGCAGACTTTGTCGTACTTAACATTATTAAGTAAACGTGGAACGTGTGGAACCTCGCTCTCAATCTCACCTAACCATTGCTGTACCTCCTTGGCGATAACTGGCGACAACAGTGGCGTTGAGAAGTTCTCCTCGCAAAGAGGGGAATCGGGCGAGCCGATCTTCCACGTGAGAGCGTCGCCCTTGCTGCCCAGCCCCTCCCCCCCCTCCTCGCACTCCTCGGCGTCGTCGCCGCTCAGTTCCTCATCTGCCCACTTGGGCGCCTGCTCCATCAACGCAATCTGCTGACACTTCTCGCGCTCTGCCAACGATTCAGCCATCCACCTTTGTCCGACCCGCCTCAAAAAACAACCGCTGTGAATGTCAGCTTGCTTGCCAGTTGACTTCTTGCCGCTGTCAGATGTAAACAACGGCGTTGCACCGTCTGGTCGGTGGGCCTGGACATATGCATTCCAAGCGTCAAATCTGTTCCTCTTCACCTTGGACTTCCCAGGAGGGCGGCCGCGCTTCGGCGGCCCTGGCTCCTCGCCCCCGCACCTCGACCTTGTAAAATCACTCCCGATGTCCAGACCCAACTCTTCCTCCATGATGGCAGCGAAGCCGCCAGTGTTGGACGATCGCCCGAGCGCCGCCCGGCAATGGGCACGCGCAACTTCCCCGTCGTAGATTGCGAGGTCCCACTGGCAAACCATCCCCTCCACCAAGGTGGCGAACCACCCCTCGAGGCACTCTGAGGCGTCGGTCACTTCATTCTTCAGATGATGCATGCCAAGAGGGACGCAACAAGGTTCGAGGTGGGCGAACTCCTGGCAGACCGCATCGCGCAAGTTCTGGGACGGGCCGAGCAACAGGCCAGCTTGAGAGGGAAGGCGTTGATGCAGCGATGCAACAACTTCCACCACGCACGGGCGTAGCACGGACTTGCGGCATCCCAGCTGGCCCTGCATGCTTGACCACGCTGGCCGCGGCATTACGACGCTGCTGCAGCCCAGGCTTCATCTGCCGTTGCGCCTTGCAACGACTTTGAAGCAGTGGATAGCGCAGCCAACACGGGCGCAGTGCGAGGGTTCGCAAACTTGATGAGAGCCTCCCGGCGGGACATTTTGCCACGCGCACCTCTCTCTGGCGCGGGGTCGAATGCAGACTGGCCCATGCCCGCGCCAGTCGTGCCCGTGCACGAATCGTGGGCCATCAGCCACGCCATCACTGCACGTGGAACTCGTAAACACACTAGCATGACAACTAAATCCCACCAGCCCTCTGGACGTAGGTGGTTTAGGGTGTTTCCACTTCCCCCCCCCCCCCCCCTCTTCGGGGAAGGGTTTGCCCCTCCCCCTACCCCCGCCCCCTGGACCTGGACGGGGCGCCCCGCGAGGTGTCAGAGGGCGCGCTTTCGCTCAAGACGGCTCCACGAGCGCCTCGGAGAGCCCGAGATGACCTCCAAGATGGCTCAAGATAGCCTAAGATGCCTCAAGATGGCTCCTCCGAAGATGCCCCAAGAGGGCCCAAGACTCTGAAGACCGCCCTAAGACGGCTCAAACAGGCCAAAGAGCTTCCCAAAGGAGGCCCCAAATATGCCCAAATCCTTTTCAAAAGCTTGAAGTAAACCAATGGTTTCTGCCTTCTCGCGGCTCCGCTTCCGATGGCCATCCGAGGCCTCAAGATGGCTCCAAGATGGCCCAAGAGGGCCCCAAGAGGGGGCCCAGAGAGCCCCAAGACGCCCCCAAGAGCGCCCCAAGAGGGGTCCAAGAGGGCCCCAATTGGCGCCCCCACAGAGTCACCCGGGAGGGCCCTCCCGGGCGATTCTGCGGGGGCGTGAATATTTGATCGACCCCTTTCAAGATGGCCCCAAGAAGCGCCCAGGAAGCCCCACGAGGCCCCCAAGATGGCTCCATGGGGGCCCCCAAGGGGCCCCAAGATGGCTTTATGGGGCTCCAAGACGGCACGATAGCGGCAGAGAAGTGTCAGAAAGCACACGTGATTCTGGATCCTGATTCATGCCACTTTTCTGCCGCTTTCGGGTGGGCTCCAAGACTGCCCGAGAGCTTCTCGAATGGCCATGAGCGGGTGTCCACGGACCCCCCCTGGGGGGGTGTCCACGGGCCCCGTTTGGACATCAAAACGGGGGGGCCCGTGGACTCGGTTTCCGTGGATGAGGGAGGCGAAGACCATTCCTCAAGGAGCACCCATCTACCTCGCGGAGTGCCAGGCGCTCTCGATGGCAGCGCTCCGTCGAATGAGTCAGCAGGGGGGGGGGGGGGGGGGGGGGGGGGGGGGGGCGGAAGCCGAGGAGGGCGCTGTCTGAACTACCGCCTTTCCCTCATTCCCTATCCTCCTCCCCCCCTCCTCCCCTCCCTCCTCCGTTTCCATCCTCCTCCCCACCACCTACCCCCCCTCCCCCCCCCCCCCCCCCCTCTCCTCGCCCCCCCCCCCATCCCTCTTCCCACGCCCCAAGAGGCCCCCATAAGGCTTCCAAGAAACATCCGAAAAACATTCAATCTGCTTCTGGCTATTCTGCTCTTCCCCGCCCTCCTCAGTATTCTCCTCCACCTTCTCCCCCTACTCCTCCTCCTCCACCTTTCCCTCTTCCTCCTTCTCCTCCTCCCCTCCTCCTCCGCCTCTTCCCTCCTCTCTCCTCTCCCCTCCTCCTCCTCCTCCTCCTCCTCCTCCTCCTCCTCCTCCTCCCCCTCCCCTCCCTCCGCCCAACCCGACCCCCCTCGTCCTCCTCCTCCTCACTCTCATCCGCCGATTTCTCATCGCATTCATGATCATTAATCCCTTTTTTATTCCCCCACCCGCTCCCTCATCCATCCATCCATCCATCCACCCATCCATCCATCCATCCATTCAGCGCCATCATTCTCCTCATCCCTCCTTCGCTCGGTTCAGCTGCCCCCCTCTTTGCTCCCGCGCCCCCCTGGCCACCTCAACTCGCACGGGCGCCGTTTCTGAATGGGCTGGCGGGGGTGCGCGAAGCGTCGACAATTCATCGGCGCGTCCACCTTGTTCAGAAATTCGAATGACTTCTTGATCCTCCAGTCGTGGACCTGGTGGAAGTGGTCGTCGGAGACCCCATTGCGCATCTAGGAACTCGTTGGGGGCGTTGCCGTTGTCTCCAGCTGCCGGGAGCCCAGCTGCTTCGCCCACCTTGCACTTCCGAGGGGCAGCCCTGCCAGGCATATTGTGGCAACTCCCGCCCAACGTCGCGCGCCTGGCGACAGGCGCGACTTCCCACCAGCGGCTGCCTGCTGGCACGCCCCACTCAGACCCAACTATATCCTTCATGAACAGCTTGCACGCGTGATCGACAGCAGCTTTGCGGCAGCCGCGTTCGCCAACGCATCCAGGCGCGCGGCAATGGTACTTGACCACGTCGGAGGACCAGTCCCCCACCAAGCTGTCGCTCCACTGCTTCATCTGATCCCGAATCTTATCGGAAGTGTAAGCGCTTGGCAGGCCGCCAGCAACCGTCAACTGCAAGATATGCGATGAGATGCGCACGTTGCGTTGATCAATGTCGCTGGCGTTGTGGATCACGATCAGATTCGAGTCGATGGCAGCCTTTACAGAGAGCGTCAGCTTTGTCCAACAAGAGGATACCTGTAAAGCCAATGCCAGGCGGCACAGAGCACCACAAACATTTTGGGCCCTCAGAATCGGCACCGCGGCCCTGTGAAGTGCGTGGATGCAGCGCGACTGAAACGCAATCAACACGTGCCGTCCCCGGGTGCGATAACTGCCCCAGCACGCATGGGCGGCGAGCCTGCAGGAACAGACAAGACATCAACCAGCGAGTGGCCAACTACGCTGGAATCCCACCAGCCCTCTGGGCGTAGGTGGTCTAGAGAGCTTCCTCTTCCAACCCCCATTCTACCCCTTCGGGGAGGGGTTCACCTCTCCCCCATGCCGCCTCCCCGGGACCTGGACGTTGTGTGTGTGTTTGTGTGTTTGTGTGTTTTTGTGTGTGTGTGTGTGTGTGTGTGTGAGAGAGCGTGTGCGTGTGCGTGTCGTGTCTGCGTGTGTGTGCGTGTGTGTGTGTGTGTGTGCGTGTGTGTGCGTGCGTGTGTGTGTGTGTGTGTGTGCGTATGTGTATGTGTGTGCGTGTGTGTGCGTGTGCGTGCGTGTGTGTGTGTGTGCGTGTGTGTGGTGTGTGGTGTGTGTGTGTGTGTGTGTGTGTGTGTGTGTGTGTGTGTGTGTGTGTGTGTGTGTGTGTGTGATGTTGTTGTGCGTGCGTGTGTGCGCGCGGGGGGCGGGGCGGCGGCGGCGGCGGCGGCGGTGGCGCGGAGGGGGGGGGGGGGAGGGGGGCGGTCAGAGCGTCCAAGATGGCCCAATATGGCTCCAAGAGCGCCTCGGAGAGCCCAAGATGGCCTCCAAGATGGCTCAATATAGCCCAAGATGCCTCAAGATGTCTTCCAAGATGCCCCAGGGGGCCCCAAGACTGCCCCAGGTGGTCACATAGCTCGCCAAGAAGGCCCCGGAGAAGACCAAAGCTTTCACATGATAAAAAACATCATGTTTGTGGCTTCCTAACCTGTTCGCTTCCGATGGCCATCCGAGGCCTCGGAATAGCTCCGAGATGGCCCGAGATGGGCCCCGAGAGAAGCCCAAGAGATCCCCGAGACGACCCCGCGAGCGCCCGAGGGCGCTCCAAGTGCGCCCCATGGAGGCCCCAAGAAGGGGATCTGGGGCTCCCGAGGGGCAGTGCAAATTGAGGCACCCCTCCTCTTGATCGATCTCCTCCAAGATGGCCCCAGGAAGGCTTCCGAGACCTCCAAGAGGCGCCCAGGCGGCCGCAGGAGACCCCCCGAGAAGCCCCCAAGAGGCCCACCTGGCAGCGATAACGCACAAGTTCTGGTGAGTCCCTGCGCCCCCCCCCCCCCCCATAGGTGGGAAGAGCAGGACAGGGTGGTAGTGGCCTCCCCCCCCCCTCCCCTCCTTCTCCTCCTCCTCCTCCTTCTCCACCTCCTCCTCCTCATCATCATCATCATGATCATCATCCCCCTCCTCCCGACCCCTCAACCATCCATCCGTCCATCCATCCATCCATCCATCCCTCCTCCTCCTCCTCCTGCGAAGGGTTCGCGTCCTCCTCCTCCTCCTCCCCCTCCCCCTCCTTCTCCTTGCCCTCCTTCTCCTCCTCCTTCTGAATCCTCATCGTCCATCTCCACCTCCTCCTCGTCCATCCTCCTCCGTGTCGTTTGCTCCGCGATGGCCTGTTGTTGGAGGAGGCGTCGTCCGCGCGCGTGATCAACCGCAACCATTTGACAAACGTCGGATCGACGGGCCCGAACCGCTCCTTCGAGAAAGGGCCGAGCGGGGCTGATTCGAGCGACGACCACAAGCAATCAGCCGTTGCGCGAGCAATCCTTCGAGATGGCACGAACCATGGCAAGGGCGCCTGCATCCCAGCGAGCTTGACGAACATGCTGATCACCATCGCCGACGGTTTGGATACCTGGCGCCTGCCGTCTTCGCCATGCTTGACCCCAACCTGCTGCTGCGTCTCGCCCCACTTCACCCTGAGCGAACCCACGAACCAACTGAGAGCCTGAGAGCTGCGCAAGAGAGCATTCCATGCAGCTTGTCGGTGTAGTCTGTAGCGAAACAAAGCCGCGGCTCTGATCCAATGTAATTTTTCGACCGCCACTCCAAGACCATCGGCAACCAATGTGCTATACATCGACCTCTTATTGAAGAATACAGCCCTGACCACGTCGACGAACGTGAGATCATGTTCGCTGGAAGCCAATGCTGTGAACGTCCTCGATGGTAACGCGCTCGTCTCATCATCAGCAGCTGCATCATC